CCAACTCTTTGTGTCAGTTCTAGCAAGGCATGGTTTTCTAGAACCAAGTATCCATTAACATTTTAAAAAATCTCTAATTTTAAACAATTCAATGAACTTTGGGAACTTTGGAAAAAGTTGGTCCATCTGTTTTTGAACTGTGAATATTGTGTATTGTTTCTATTCCTTGTAACAGTACAAGTGAATCAGGGAAATATAAAAGCAGAAAATACATGTTGTATTTTGATAAAGCAAATTGATACCTGCTTTTTGGGGGATATTAAATAGAAACTGTTTTTATTCATCTCTCTTGCCTATGTTTGATTCTGTATATGAATTTGTTATCAGTTATCAGTATATGCTATTATATATAGTTGCTGATATTTCATCCTGACAAATTGTTGGAATTTGTATATCTTTTAAAAACATGTTAGAACTGTAGAGAAATTTTCTTTTGTAGTTTTACAGCATGTTCATTTTAGGACTGTTTTACAGTATTGAAATAGCAGTCAGTGTTTATGCAAGAGGGAAATTCTAGAGAAACAAAAAAAATGATGAACAGAAATGAAATCTAATCCTTTGACAATTAGGAAAAAAATGAGATTGTGAACAAGTCAGGAAGGGAAAGAGGCCTGGCTGGATTTTGGAAGAACAAAACATATATCTTTCCCTCAAACTCACTGACCTAAACATATTTTAAGACATCATATGATAAGGTTATAACTCAGTAACAATAAAATATTATAAAAAGTCATATGATGAATTCATTATACTTCATATTTCCATACTTAGGTATCTCCAGAAAAACTTTCCAGTTAATTAGGTCAGTTAAAATAGCAGATTTATAGTTTCAGCTCAAGCCTTCAAGGTAGGGCAAATCCTTGCATCTCAGCTAGGCTAAAAACAAAAACAAATGTGACATCATTACCTACTTTAACAATAAAATATTATCAATTTTGTGAGGTTTACTTTACACTTTAATTCAAGATTAATATGTTTTCTGTCATCATATGTGGGCAGTTAGTGTTTCCAATATGAACTTAAAAGTAAAAGTAAACCACTGTTTGACTTTTGTTGTCTTATTGTAAAATATAAGTACAGTATTTGAATAATACTGTATATTTTCACAGTAGGAAATTTTGAATAGTATGCATTACAGTCTATTTTTATTGAGCTATCAATGCTTCTTAGAACTTGATGACGTGGTCAATAACATTTAAAATAATCTGAATTGATTTCATGAGCAGTAAAGAGACAGAATCCATTTTCATAGGCCATAGACCATAATGGTTCTTGGCCAAAATAGAAAGATAAAGTTTAGTATGGGACAGGAAGAGTAGTATGTGAAGATCCAGGCTCATTTAATTGAGAGGCTAAATATTGATCCTCTTGTTAGGACTTTGGTTCTGTTGGAAATGATCCAAAATACAGCACACAAACTCCCTTTCTTCCTTTGTTTATTAACAGAAATAAACCAGTTTCTTAGTTAGAGGCATTAAAGCAATTTATGCAGTATACTGTTAAGCCAGATAACCATACTGCTTTTCTTCCACATCCTCTTCTCTTCCTTCTGAGAAGGATTATGACAATGATTTGCTGCTAATTATGTGCTAATATTTATTTATAAAATTTATATGAGGCTCATCTCGCTCATATATATATATGAAAAAAACTATTTTCTCTTTTTTAAAAATAGAATTGTACTGAAGAATATTATAACAGATAAAAAAATACAAATATTAGAAAAGAAACAAAATGAAAAAGAATAGCAAATAAGAAAGAAATTAGAAAAAGAAAAATATTTTGACAGCAGTTATAAATATATTGATATTTTATTCTCTGTAAGGTTATATTATACTTTTTCCCCATAAACTACCCTTTCTAATCTTCAATCCCATCAATCACAAGTTTGATTATTGTGATTGTTGTTGTAGTTGTTGATCTTTCTCTAATTAAACAATTTAATTAAACAATTTAATTTGACATCTTTGCTAGTTCTGTCATTTTTACCAATCATTCCTCTGTCGTGATATTTCAGAGTATTTACATTTTTGTCATATAATAGTCTCACAACAGTATATACAAAATAATTGATGATTCTTGATTCTTTTCTAATTGATTGTCCATTAATACCAGTAAGAAAAGTTCTGGTTTCAGTTGAATATTGATCTTCAAAATTCTTTTATCATTGTATGTATTTGAACCCAGAAATTAGTGGCTTTTTTTACAAGTCCATCAGGCATGATAAAATGATCCTTTATGTCATCCACATTTCCAGCATAAATCTGGAGTCATACATCAACAGTACATCATTTTTTCGATTTGGTGGAACATCCAAAATATTTTTAAGAAAAAGATAAAGTTTAAACCACAGATATTTTTGTTGGGTATTTTGGAAGATTTGGATGCAAAAGAAATGGAGTTGATGTTAAATCTTATAACTGCTGCAAGATTATTAATTGCTCAATTTTGGAAAACGAAATGTTTACCTACTATAGAAGATTGGGTTTTTAAAGTCTCAAACTTAGCAGAAATGGCCAAGATTTCCGCTTATGTGAAGGATTACTCACAAGAAAGATATATATCGGTTTGGAGAAGATGGATTGATTATATTGAGTTTAAATATGGAACAAAAAAATATCATTTGGTTTTTGAATGAATTTCTGATTTTTAATATTTAAAATTATGTTAATATTATGGTATTTAATAATTGTATATTTGTT